CAGAGCAGTCCAAACTTCCGACCTTTTTTTAGTCTCAGGTCTTTACAATGAGCAAAAATTAAGGCTGTAGCCAGAGCAAGGTGTATAAAATCAGAAAATAAAGATCTGACATACCAACTGTATCATTCAGAAAAAATAAAGTATCATTCAGTGTAAAGTAAGTGAAATAATGTTGCCAGGAATAACAGCCAAAGAGAACCCCAAGGAAGCTGGTGAAGGACTTTGAGGCATGTGTGTGTGTGGCAGGTGCACCCACCCTGACAAAGACCGGGGGCTTTAAGACCGCTGCGTCCTTACTTTTCACACCCTTACTTTCGCGCCTTTACGGTGGTGAGTGCTGACCGTCACGTACACGCTTTGGGCCAGTAATTATGGTCACGTATACACCTTGGGCGAGGCATAAGAAAGTTACGGCCCTCAGCCAATTAGAATTGACCACAGATCAGATTCGACTAGGGTATAAATGGAGCCCCGCCGGAGGGCAAGTGGAGTCAGTCCTCCGTGGAGCAGCGGGTCTGCGGTCGGGGACTCTCCCCTTGGGTCGGGACGCTGCCCAGGGAAACTCCTGGAGGTTGAGAGCCCTCATCTCATAGGTGAGTGACTGTGCACATTTTGGATCCTCATTTCTAAAGCCAGCTGTGCAGTGTTAATTCCTTGTACACCATCCTGAACCTGTGGTTTACTGATGTTGTCGGAGTGTTGACGCCTCATTTCTAGTTAGTTTTCTGCTAAACAATTTTGGTTAAAATAAAGTTTATTTTTGAATCTATCACCTGCCTAATTTGATTTTGTGAGCCTCTGCAACAGTGTGGCACCACTCAGAGAGAGCATCAGTTTAGCCAAATAATGAAACCAAATAGAAAGCACAAATTCACATAACGAAGTTGTGAATTCTAACTATAAAATTAACCTGTGGAATTATATTGTCTTATTCAATAAATATTCAATAACATTTCAATTAAAATTTTGAAAACAAAGATGTATAGCAAAGAAATTTTGGCAGCTGACAATAGTTCATTGTCGAAAACCTTTAGGACTCTCTGCTTAGACATGGAAAGTGGGACTCAGCACTTCATAGAAAGTGAAGTTTACTGTTAGGGAAAAATCTGGAAATGTCTTCAAGGACAAATGCTGCACTGTCCAGAGAAAGGACAAAGAAACTAAAACCTACAATAGCAGGCCTGGTTCTGCTCTATTTGGCTTGGCATTACCCAGCCAGCATATATAGCCACCCAGCCAGTGCATGCATGGCCAAAAAAACGGCCACAATACATGCTGCTTTTACTCCCTGCACTAGTTAAAGGGCAAGGGAAGGAAATGGGGTTGTTTCAGAAAGGAAAAACTGAGGGGAAAAGAGCTGAGAAAGCAGGCCTACACAGTCAAAAGGACTCAACAAAAAAAAAATATTTAAAATGATCCTATGTCAAAGACGTATTACTTAGAGGGAGAAATAGAAGCTGCAGGAATCTTAAGTGGGGAAGATTTCAGTCTGCCAGGTTAAGTTTTAAATGCCAGTAGCCATGGCTGCAGCATATCTAAATAGCTTATTTGATAAAGAGATGGTTTAGCTGGAGCATCATTTCCCAGCATTTGGCTCATAAACAACAGGAACATACAGAGAAAAACAGGTCAAAACAAAGACACAAGCAGTCAGGCCAACCAGTATATATTTTACCCAAAGCAACCACTTTCAAAATTTACTGAGATCTTCTCTCTCCCATTATTTCTGCTCCTGGAGTCCATGTTTCTACCTGCAGGTCCACAGACACTAACTTACCAAGCATCCACATCTACATTGCTTTGATTTGCACGCCCTGCTTGACAGCATCCCTTTCTACCATTCCTCAATTCCAAGCCAAATATAATTAGCTCAGACAGTCAGCAGCACCAGTTTCTAAATGCATTGCCAGGTCTCAGTTCTCTCACATCTTCTCCCTTCTGTGATTACCCCAAGAGTGTCCCTCATGATCTTTTCATCAAGGCTATATGTAAGCAGATTCTTTCTAAAGTTTCACTCTCTAAAACACAGATTCTTCCAGATTGCTAAAACTGTCACCCAGGCTCGTATCACCATGCATATCAATTACTGCAGTGCTCTCCCTCAGCCTGGACAAATGTAATCTGCCATCTTTGGTATCCATTCAAAATGCTCCCATGAAGTTCATTTTCCGAGCCCATCATCTGCCTGTGTCATTCTTACCTATGCATCCATCCATTGCATATCCTTTCCTTACCTCATCAGTTATAGCTACTTACTTTCATTTCCAAGAAATTTCAAAGTCTAATTCATCCCCCTTCAGCCCTCTCCAAGCATTTCACATTCTGTATCCAGCAGCTCATTATGCTTGCCCCCTATGTCTGACTTGTTAAATGCAAGGATCTTTGTTCTTCTTTCTGTGCCATACTTCTCTGTAAACATCCCTGAATGAATAGTATGAGACGACTGAAAAGATTACATTCATTGTCTGAGTCCAAGATTAGAAGCACTGAGGTTCTGAATTCAAAATGCTGTAACAGTAAAGCTGGGTGAATAATTTACAGCATGGAATTTATTTAATGAATTTTGCTTAATTTTCTGTTTACAAAACGGTGAATTTGCTATTCAGAAGCACTCACCAAATAATCTTTGCAAATTATTCTTGCCATGTTGCTTAAAAACAAGCAGATTTGAAAATTGATCTGTTTTGATGTATATATAGGTCACATGATAAATTTCTGTAGCCTAGTTACAGGAGTATATCTTAGAGGCAGGCTCTGGGTACAAATACTGGTGATTATATATCTAAAATTCACTGCCTGACAATAACTTCTAAAATTATAGTTGTGGTGGTGGTGATCATTCCTAGCAATAAACTTAGCTTCCAGAATATCATCTGAAACAAATGAAAAAGATATAAACACACAAGCTATTTTTGTTTTAAAATGCAAATGCTTTTTCAAAAGAATTGTCATTTTATTTTAAGCCTGATTCTCTAAGGAAAAGAAAAAGGGTTCATTGCCTGAGCTTTGTCTTTCTGTAATGCTCAACCAAGTCATTTTCACCTAAACCCACAGTAACATTTTTAGACTTCTGGTTAAAAAACAAATGAAAAAAAGATTTTGGGGGGAGGAAAAAAGATACATACAGCTCCAAAATAGCCACAGCACACACTGCCTTGCTCATGTATGGGCTGTGGAGGGAAGCAGGGGATGCGTAGGCAGGCTCAGGGGACATGGGGGAGTAGGGAGATGGAGGAAAACCCAGGATGAAAGGATCTGAGAAAGAACTGGCTATATTAAGGCGGTAACAGTGGAGAAAGGGTGTTAGAGGTGTAAGACATCCTTCCATAGAAAAATAGGTTTTGTTTATTCTCTGTTCACAGAATTACATGGACTAAATGATATAATATTCATGACCTATGTATAAATATTCCTTCTTAGTGTTCTCACAGGACTCGGCCAACCTTCCTTCCAAACAGGTCATAGAGTTTTACACACTTTATTTCCTATTCCCATGCAACCATAGTTTTCAACAAAGAATGTCCTGAATGCCTCAAAAGAGCTAACTAAAATTAATCAGCTGGAAAAACACTAACTACACCCATATACCAGATACGGCATGTGAAACAGGGTCACTAGATATCACTCTTGACTGTGGGTCAGAAGTTCCTCAAGTCCCGTTCTCAGAGCTGGCTCCAGATCCAGTGCAGCAACATCAGATAAGTACAAGCCGAGACCAAACTTGCAAACCTTTTTGACTGTATCACCGTAACAATTTTCAAATGAGGGTCAGTACCTTCTATTGTAGTCCTCTCCCAACACGGCCTTTGGCTTCTGAGCATTAGTAATACAAACCCCTAGCCCAGGAGCACAAAACTTATTTACAGTGTGATCTTTTACTTTGGTATACTGTCCTACCAATCTATATCCATACCATGTTCAGTTTTATCTGTGGTAAATATTGTAACTTTTCAGCCTCAACTCTTATTTAGGTGGGTAATTAATGTTTTGGATGCCTTTTAAAGTGTATTAGAAGCTAAAAATTAAAGGGACAGCACTCTCGTGAAGACCTTTTCTCTATAGCCTATCAACAAATACTATTTGAAACAGTTTGAAAACTGGTGATTTAGTTTGCCAGCCTCAGACAGAAAACAAAGTCAATATATAATTTTACAACTACATTTTTTTTCTTTGCTGCATTCAGTTATAAAAAGAAATTTGCTCTGCTTTTCCTACCACAAAATTAAAGGTATTCCATATACAAAACATATTCTCTGTGGATTTCACAGGATAATTACACAGGTAATATCTTAACAGCATTTATTAAATTCTACCTCCCCTCTTATTTCTCTCAAATACATACTGGACACCAGATCCACTGAAGAGAAGTGAAGGTGTTGAAGTCTGTAACAGGACCAACACATGCAACATCTCCTTTTCTGCAGAGCAGCAAAGGAGCATGGCACCCCAGTGCCATGTTCCACTCATTCAATTTACTATGAATGGACATCTGCTGTCCTCTTCCTGTTTTTCAGTGGAAGTTTAAATCTCTTATAACACTTTTTTTAGTGAATGCTCTGCTCTTTATGGAAAATCTGTACTCTTTCAGGGGAAAGATAAGTGCCTAAACCCTAAATCATTCAAGTTTTTGCTGAAACAGAAGATATTTGAGTGCCTTCCAGGAGCTGCAGCTTGGGCTAGCATCATCACTGTGCAATTCATCACCCTTAGGACACTGTGGCTGACCTAAACAAAACCAGGCTATAATACAGGACATGTACATTCCTACAGGAAAATGGGAATATGAGGCATATATTCCCATGGGGGAACCATGATGACAGCTCAGCATCAAAGTATTTGATTTTCAGTGGGCATATTTCAGATTTATTTTTTCACACAAAACAAAAATATTGCCTTTCCTTTTTTATAAGGAAGGTCTGTAGTTTAGGAAGATGGCTACTGGGATTTTTTTCTATCTTATTTTCAATTAGATTTTCCTAACTTAGGACTTCAGCTATTACCTTGTAGATGTCCAGGAATCCACACTGATGGTCAAACCGTGTGTAGAGTTCGTTCAGCATGCTGATGACCTGCATGGGCGTGCACTGCGCACAGATGGCAGTGAAGCCAACAATGTCCGAGAAAAGCATGGTAACATCATCAAACTTCCTGGCCTGAACCTGCTGCCCCTGCCACAACTGCTGAGCCACTTCTTCAGGGAAAATAGAAATAAGGAGATCTACTGTTTTCTTTTTCTCCTCTTCCAGGGCTTGGTGTGTGCATTCTAGTGTTGCCTTCAGTTTATCCATTCGTTTTTTCAAGCCATCCTGGGCCTTTGCTTGCTCCCCAACCAATATGACATCACGAGTAGCATCATGGATAGGTATGTCTGAAAGATGGAGGCCTCGGCCCATCAGTTCATCCAGCTTGTCCACACAGGGGGAACCCAGAAACAAAATGGAATTTGATTCTGGCACATGAATCATTTGTCCTTTAATTTCCATTACCTGCAAAATAAAAATAGAGTTTAGAAAAGGAAAAATCAGCTGATAGATGTGGATCCCCGTTCTACTTTCCCCATCTTTCCTCTTCAGCTAAAACAATAAATATAAACTGTAGCCTTTTACACTCACCTATTCAAGTAATGAGACTCACATAGTCTACTCACCAAGGTGAGTCAGAAAATAGCCTATACTGACACAAAAGCATTCCCAAATCAGATGTTGAATTATTAAACTGTCCAATTAAATAAGCAACCAACCACAATAACATGTATTTCTCAGAATGGTGTGTAAATAATGCTTCTAAATTTTGCTCCTGGAATGTACCTGGCCTTAAAAGCAAATTCCAGAGTAGCTCCTTCTCTGTTACTTAGCTATAAATTATAAAAAGCACAAAATTAAAGGGAAATGACAACTATATGAAAGCAGGTTAGTGAAATGGTGAAGTAGCTTCCGTTCTTTTTCAGCAAAACGGCCACTAAGTCAAATGTGGCTGTGTTATAGAGGAATCGAATAAGAACAGACGTGAGAAAGAACTCCATAAACTAATTAACGGCATGGAAAAAGTGTACCAGTGCTCTTTTTTCCTATTCACCTTCTCATACATGCAGCAGAGTTTAAGGCTGACATTCTGTTAGAGTCTGCAGATTTCTTGGTGATATAGACTCATGTAATTTGTATTTGCAGAATGAAGAAGGAACAGTAGGAAAGGAGTAGCAGGTAGCTCATCACACTGGTTTATAGATTTTGCATTTGCCTGTTAAATGGCTAGATGTTTTGAGTGCTGTCCAGTGGTTGATACCAATGAGGCCCTGGCTTGTTACCTCTTGCTCTATGATGGCAGTTGAGCACAAAACTACCAGACTGAAATGGACATTGAAAAACAACTGTAATGAAATATTTGACATTTGGGGCTACATACATTTTGATTTTTGTTAACTTACCAGGGTCACACAAAAGTAACTGTCAAATACTGCAAAGGGATATTTCTCACCTGAATATAGTATTTAAAAAACAAAAACAAGCAAACAGAAAACTAAGATGAACATGTTTTGTTTAAGCAGAAAATAATTAAATAGGATAAACTGAATCTCTTTGTAAATACAAAGAGATATATGCCATAGCCTCTGCCATGAAAAACAATCACTGTTTTCATTCCAGGACTGCACAAAGACCAGGGCAATACTGTGCTAGGTGATCTAAAAAACCCACAGTCCTTACCCCAAGGATCTCATAGTCAAAACAGGCACAACACACAAACCTTGTGCATCTAAGCACAGTGTTAGGCACCATAATGCCTTAAATCTGTATTTTTCCATTCCACACAATCCACTGAAATAAAAAGTCTCCTCCGGTCACCCTTTCTTTCATTGTCTAGGCGCTCCCTCACTCTCACATGATTCACTTTATCATTTAATCCTCCTTCCTTCCATAATCGTTCCAAGCAAAATAGGAAAACCTCAATCAGAGAATCCAGAGGTGTCTGTAATAATGATGTGATTTAAGTGTCCAGAGGCCTGGAAGCTCCTGCTGAGCTGACAGCTACCCCCACATGGTACTTTCCATGTTTGGGGGACATGTTGGGAAGCTCCTGTTTCTATTAGGGATTTCTTACATCAGATAATATGCTGTCAATGCAGATCCTACTGTCAACGTGGAGACTGAGTCTATCCTGTCCCCATGCCCCTCTGCCTCCATACCCCACCCTGCTAGCAACCCGCTAGATGCTGACTGATGTCAGCCTGCTAACTCAGCAAATGAAAGTAAATGAAAGTAATTACAATTGTCAATTTTCGTAATTTAAGTTCCTGCACACCTACTAATATTTACATTTCTAAGCCTTGTTTCCTCAGCTTTGTTAAGGGACAGCCATCTCTGTGAGAAAGCTAGTCAGCTACCTAGATGGGCAGATTTAATGCTCCAAGACTAATTGTTCTTTTTAATTTTTAAAACGTATGGCTCCCTGCTCAAAACATAAGGGAAATAGGTGCTTTCTTTATGCATGCAGCCTCACGCTTTCAAAGGGTAAATATGAAATTGTTTTAACTCTGAAGTACAAATTGCCAAATGTGAAATACATGGTGTGGTATTTCTAAATTCTCTTCTTATTTTGTTCCCCTTTGCCAGACAGTTTTTCTGTTTTCTATTCCTAGAACTTCACTGGTGTGCAAAATAAATGTATCATCTCATATTATCACTTCTCTCTTCCACCTCCAGATGAAAATAGGGTGTCAGCTCAGGAGGAGAGAGTGTGACCACAGACCCTGGCTGAGCCAGCCTGGCTCGGGGGTGGGCTGCTTGTCAGCAAGGCAAAGCACCTGGCTTGGAGCCATGTTTCTTCTGTTAACCTGCTGTGAGACTAGAAGAAAATTAATGCATCCCTCTGTGGTCCTGCTTCACCTTTGTCAATTTGAGGTGTTAAACTTTTTGATGTGATCTCTGTCCCTGTGAATATATTATGCCAACCTTCCCTGGGTAGATTCTTCTTAGGAAACACTGATCAAGTGAATAATGTATTAAACAGGCACTCTGGAGTCCTCTGCTCTGCTTCTGGGTAAACCCAGGCAAATTATCAGCTCTGAGTGCTTATTTGGCCTTTCAGCACAGCAGGAACAATGACATTGATGACCCTATAACACACTTCAAGACTTATGTGTGAGAAGCAATAGAAGACACAGATGATCCTGTAAAATGCCTAAACTAATAATAACCTGTTCCGCCCAAGTGAGCAGAGCCCCTGCTTCAACAAGGTTGAGGGTTTTTGGAGCAATTTTAGAAACTTTTGCAAAGGTATTCTCCCTACACAACTGCTCGGTTTCCTGAAAGTGTCAAAGATTCAGTGCTATTTTGACTTTATCCTCTGAATATTATTATCATTTGCTCTGCTTATCAGGAATTGTTGATGTTTCCTATCACTCCTTTCATGTTACATTAGTGATTCTGATGTCCTGCTCTCTCTTGATGACTGAGGTGGTTTTTTTTAGAAAATGGCCTGCTAGTATCTTCAAGTTGCCAAATCAGGGAACTGGACAGCAGAAGCAAAGCTGCCCCAGCTTGCCTGCGGAGAAACACTCAGGTCTTGTAAAGCACAACAGTAGAGAAGAGCTAAGACTGCATCACTCTGGTCAGTTTTTGCAAAGCCCTTTCCTTTCCAAAGAAGTTTCTGAGATGATTCAGACTCTTTCTAGAGGACTTTGGTCTGCAACTGTGATCCAACATAGCCTCCATCTCTTTTCTTTGGACTTTCTTGCCTCTTATATCCTTCTCTGTATCTTAAAGTATAACTGAATGAAATGGGACATCAGATTTGTCTGAAGCTTGCCATAGCAAGTCACGCTTCTGAGCATCTCCCCAGAGCTGGACTGCTTTACACCTGGACCGTAAGCCTACAGGCAATCAGGATTACATCACCTATCTTTCTTGTAACCAGGGAAAGATTGAAACATTTCTGTCATCAGTTGTATTTCATTACTGCTACATTTCATTGCTTTCCTGCCTCTGTAATTATATTCTCACTGGATAAAATGAGAATAATTCCACTGTTTTCAGAGGACATTCTCCTGATCTACAGTAGTATAAGAGAACATTTTGAAATGAGCAATTACACATCATATTTTATGGGATTATGTTGCTGTGAAATAATGGTGCAATCTAAGTAGCTCCAGGATGAAAAACAAAAAACCTAACGCTGAATTTTACTTTCACTGCAAACCCACTGCAAAGAAAGGGGAGCAAACAGAAGAGGTCCTGCCTCTCAGAAATTATTTCAGCCCCTGTCCCCAAAGACCCACCCAGGGAACACTGACAGACTCTAAAGCTGCTGTTTGAGAACATGAGAGAGTCTCCTACTGTGCTGTACACCAAAACCTACTTCATTAGGTACACAATATCCAACGCTCTGCATGCTCTGGATGCATGCCACCCTAGGATTAAGTATAGATCAAAAGCTTACGAATCAAATGCCAACTCCACTGCCTAGTCTTTAAGGAAAAACCTCATTTGTTGCACTGATGGAAGACAATACTTCTCTGTACAAAGACGAATGTTTTGAAATAGTGACTGAGAGAAGGTGTACACACCTTCTGGAAAATACTAAGGGAAATATGAGACGGTATTTTTGAGAAAGAATTGGGGGGTTAAAAAATAATTTTCTTCATCATTAGGCCAGGCCATGTATTCTGCAGCCTCTGCAATCCACAAATTTTAATGGAGCTGCCGCTTTGACTTTGATCAGTACATAATCCCTCCCGAACTGTGATTATAGCCTTCTTTTTTTCAGGTTTTTTTCTTGGGAGCAGGTTAGGAAACTTACAGTGCTAGGCCACACTTTTATAACAGTTGCACATGCATGCTTGACTTCATACAATGAACAAATTCAATGCAAATAAACAAAGCTGCTTCTTTAACAGGCCCATAATTATTTAGAGGACTGGGAAGATTGAGGGAAAATCAGCTTATGACAAATCGATGTGGACACAATCATCACTTCAAGGTACAAAGAAAAAAACATAAGCTCAGAAAAAAAAAACCATCACTGCACACTGAGGATGAGAGTATAGGGTGACTTTTAGAAAGGTGAGCCAGCTGCTAGCCTAAATTTTAAAACAGCTGGATTCACTTCTCTGAATGTCCTGTAGGATACATGGCAGTGTCTCAGGAACATTTACAGCAAGACATTCCAAAATATTTGAGCGGTTAGGGGCTTAGGGGATTTTGTGAGCACTGGACAAGGCAACAGGTCATTTCCAGACAGCAATGTTATAACTCTGCTTGTCATGTTTCCAAATGACACATCTAGAAGAGCTGCAAGTATGATGGAAGACACTGGAATTAAAAAAAAAACCTCATAAATTGGAGAAATGGACTAAAAACAGGATTCAGAACAAGGGCAATGAATATGTTTAGGCAGAAATAATCAAATGCAAAAAATACAGGCAAGATAGATAACAGTTCCTAAGAATATGGCCCAGTGTCTACAGAGTGGAACAGATGAATGTAAGCCAACA